ATATATATATATATTTATTTATTTATTTATTTATTTATTTGATCAAATATCTTTTTTAATTTCAATTACTATTGTTTAATAGTCATATAATAAGCATAATTATAATTTATATATATGTTTTGTTTCATATATATGTACAAACACATTCACGCGCGCGCGCGTGCATGTGATTTCCTTATAGCCATTCTAGCAAGCATTTAAAGAAGATAAAAAACGCAAAAATAATACTGTTGCAAGTGAAAATATGAAAAGTATTACTAACAGCTAAAATCTCATAACAAAAAGTAGAATCGAGACTTCAGTCCGAAGATTAAATAACAAGTACTTTACTCATTCGTTATTAAATAAACTAAACTGACTACAATTAAAGAGCAGATAATTGATCCGAGAAGCACGAGCTTGCTTATTTGAATAAAAGTAAGCTGTATTTATTGGTAATAGTGGTCGTTGCCTCCTTTGAGGAAGGTAAGCAGGTAATTTGCTATTTGACCACGATCTCTACTGGCCTCTTAAAAATTCAATCTAAAAGAACCGTAAAGGATTGAATACGGCCCTGCAGGACGGGCGGTTCTGTCGGCCAGGTGGTCCAAGCCAAATACCACGATATCGTTCTTCTTGCGGACATTTATGCTCCGCTGTGCTGCCGAACGAACGAACAGACGGACAGGTGTGAATCGTGGTGTCCGTGGCGCAATGTGCGTACCGACCGACGTGTCGCGCGCGCTCAACGAGAATAACGGACGCATGCCACGTGCACAAGTCAACGAAGTAAGAGAAGAAGAAGGAGAGAGAGGGGGGGGAGGAGGGGGAGAGAGGGAGAGAGAGAATATTCGCATACATCACTGTTGAAACAAAAGAATCGCATTCATGCGAATGAGACTTTCTCGACAATTATCATTATTATACTCCGTTGATCTCTTGGGATGGGCGATCATTGTAATTTCGAAAGTGCATAGTCCTTCTCTACTTTTAACACAATCATATTCTTTACGTTTGTAATATAAAGCACGATGGGATAAATATTTGACAAAACATTTTTTTTTATCCCGCAATGTAGATCGTGCTCTTGTAGGTAAAGCTTGTAGGTAAACTGTATCAGGGTTGCCACAGAAATTAAATTTGAAAATTTTCTGACTTTTCCCAGATTTTCCAGATGAAAATAGAAATTTTTTCATGAGTAATATAAAATATGTAACTTTTAACATTTAGACTCAAGAATTGTAGGAAAAAGCTAGTCTATATTATTCAAAATAACGCAAAAAAGGCCTAGTAGCATAGTTCACAATTTTGGGTGAAAATTCAAATCACAACATAAAATAAATTAGTTTTGGAAAAAAAGAATGTAGTTATGATGAAAAAGAGGGTACTTTTGATTTAATTTAATTTTCAAATAAAAATACTCAATAAAATATAAATTTTAATTATTTTATCAAAATCATTTAAAGTTTTGAACGTACTTGACTATAAACGTCAGATATAACATTAAAAAAATTATAACAATTATTTGGAATAGGAATAGTTTCAAGGAATTGTGAGCAAATTTCGAAATTTCAAATTTTTTACATTTTCCTCTGATTTTTTCGATTTCTATGACCAATTCCAATTTCCCTGACTTTTTCCGGTTTTCCCGGTTTTCCAGATCTGTGGCACTGTGTATTTTAGGTAAAATTACTAGATAATCTCTTTTTTTCAATTGTATATTGTATAGTTTAGTTAAATTAAATAGTTATCGCTAGTAATCAAGTGTATAGAGTTCATGTTAGTGTATGTATATCAATACCAGTTTTCTACGGTATCTCCATTCAACGTGCTAAAAATAAATAATGGGTTCGCTAAGCTTAGATATTTATTTTTAGATCTCCAGGCAGCGTTCATGGTTACTGAAGTACAATTTCGGTTCAATGCTCAAACGATTTCGTTTCACTATTCTCACAATTATGTATTACTTAAACTTCAGTGACACTTAATGAGGTCTGTAAATATATATAATCAGATTTTAAAAAAATTTTAATACATAAATTTATAAAAAAAAGTGTTTTTCTTTGTTATGTCGAGTTTTGGACGAATATAAAACGACGAGACAGAATGAAAAGTGAGCTAGTACTGCTGTTCAAATTTTGCGGAATGAAAATGACGATGAAAATACTGATAAAAATGCTTAAAGCTATATTGATCGCATGCGACAATATGTTTCGGTTGGGGTAAAATGACCCATTTTGATCGCCACTAAATCGATAACGCTAAAACACATATATATGGAATCAGAGAATATTACCAAATAAGCTAGTATTTACGAGTATACAATTTGATATTTATATATAAAATAATAATTAAAATAATGATTAATTTTATGTTTTTTTTTTCGACCTGTATTGCGTGATTAATTTTTTTTAGTAAAAATATATTAGAGGATAAATTGTCTAAGATATAAAAGAGAATTTTAAAAAAGGATTTTAATTCGTGTATTCTTGTAAACACAATAACGATAATGATAATGATGATGATAATGATATTAATGAAGATAATGTGAATAACAATAATGACAATGATAATAATAATAATAGTAATAATAATGGTAATAACTACTATGTTCAAAAACACGAAAGACAGTAGAAAGAAAAATATTCAAAATATTATCATCTCGTTTTATTTCCAGAAAATTTTAATTACAATACGTAAATTTACTACGCGCACAAACCAAAGGGGATTAAAAGTGACGTCGGTATGTGGGGGAGGGGAGAGGGGGGGAGTATAGATACTTGCCACAGAGTTAAAAGCACGGCAGATTATGTGCAGCTAACGAATTCATGATGTTATTGTTTTGCCGAGCGTTACATACTTCGTAAAACTTTATAGCCCTAATCTATCTGACAATAAAGATGCGGTGTCTCTCAACAAAAATAGCAAACGTCGTACAGAAGAATAAATATCTGATGATCTAAATGGCGTTTGTTTTTAACCACCATGGAAGAATTTTCCATGATATTTACGAATAAAGAAGAAGAAGGATTCACGACTGTAAACATACAATCTAGATGTGAAGGACGGACATATTCTGAAAAGAAAAGACGAATTCCACAAGCACGAGGTAATCTCGCAGTTGCAAGCGTGTGCACCACGTCGTGTGTAACTCGGTCGAGAATGAGTTTAAATCTAGCTCAAGAAAAAGAGACCGCTTTTCTCCTAAGAGCTAGGTATCTCTCTTAGTTTGACTAAGTTATATCAATAGCACGCAGAATGCGTAGTATATCGATGTATGTATTTTAAAATGAAAAACAAACAGGAAACATACAAGTAAGTAAAATTAAAGAAATTTCTGGGCAAATAAGCGTGATAAAATGTTGAGTATTCCTGTGTTAAAATGTTGATGTGTAAAGAACTTATTGCTAGCTAAAATATTTTAATAGCAGAATCGATTTCGGTAGTAGAATTTGCAGAAAGTTGCAATATACATATGTCATATATACGGTGTAAATAATAAAAGTTCTTTTAAAAAAATATACACATATAAATGAATAGCGAGATTATTCTAATTCGCGCATGATACAAAGCTACTGCGAAATACGAAATTAATCGACATCGTATTAGAAATGATTTTGTCATGCTATGTCACTTTCATTGAACGAGCGAATCTATATTTACCCACGTAATACATCTTGTTTTTGACATCATTAATGCGCAACTATCTCGATCGCAATAAATCAGTTTTTCGTCGCACATCGATGACGTCGCCTCCGAATAACGGACGTACAACTCTCGCGAATGTGGATTTCGATTTACTCTCTTGCGTCATCAATCGTACGAGTTCGCCCACGTTCATTAATTAATAAATAAATATTGCGAGTTTTAATTATGAATTACTTCCTTTTTAGATAGTGCGATATTAGTTGAAATTAGTATCGACTTTGAAAAATGATAGCTGCATCCTACTTTAAAAAAACAATCGTTCGCATGTGACATTACGTTATATTGTACCTAGCATAAATGTAAGATAGCATAATATAATATAACAACGACATAACAACTTTAATTCTCCCTTTTATCATATTAATTTTGTTTAATTTTCACATTCGATTCCTATTTATATATCCTAATATATTTGTGCACTGGGAAAAAACAAAATATTAAATTTTGATAAATATTTATTTTAATAATGTCAATTAAACATTTATTCAATAAAAAGAAATAATAAGTTCAAATCAAATTAATGGTTTTTGTATCAAATAAATATATCTTTATATTAAATAAATATTTAGTTGGCACTATTCAAACAAATGATTTGTTAAAATTTAATATATTTTTTTATGTATATAACGTTATTAATGATCTATTTCATCACGATATAATTTTCAGTGCTGCGCGAATTAATGTGGTGTAATTCCTTCAAACTTGTCAATCGAAATAAAAAGAAAAATAAAAAGTTTAATATATATAAAATTCTTCCCCCTCCCCTCCCGTTTCCTTCCTGCCGGATTTAAATTTTGAACGGCGTGCCATCGCCTTACCGATCTCCGTGCACCTTCTATACTAAGGAAGGTATAGAAAAGGGAGAAAGAAAATTGCGAAGGTCGTACGCTCACCCTCGAGCAGGTGCCAGTCGTCATCGAGCGAGGCCAATGCCTGTGCCTGATTGGTCTGTTGTTCAAAGTCGAGCATTCCGTTGGTGTCCTTCGCTTTCCTTTTCTCACCTGGTCTCACCGTCGACACACTGATATTACGCCCCCTTTGAGTTTTACGGTCTCTTGTCCACTGTCTTGTTCACCTTTTGCTCACTCCGATTCAATACTTATTTAATCGTATTCGAGTTCAAACTCGTCGATCGTCGCGAATCGCGCGATCGGCCGAAAGTATTCAAGATCGGTGAAAGAAAAATTTCACTCTCAATAGATCAAGAATGCGCTACTCGCGATGATTTCCCCTAGCGAGATGTTAATACCGAGCGAATGAATCTCTTTTTGGCGCGAGGGAGTCGAACTACTACTCGATCGCGTGTTTCCCCTTCTCGCTTCCCACTCTTTCTGTCTCCCTTTCTCTCAAAGATGGCCTCACTCTCCTTTGTTTACACCGGATTCTCTTATCGGGATTCTCAGCTGCTTCCCCACCCCTGCGCTATATATCGACATACGGTGGATTTTTTTTTTCCTTCAAATCGACTCGTGCCCGAAAGGTCAACTCGCGTCGAGGTCCTTGAGAAGGATTCGTTCGCTTCCGTTTACGCGCTTACGGCGCATTCGCTCGTCAGTGCTGTTCAAGGCAGCACGTGAGAGACGCGATTACGTTTACATATATCCAGAGAAGAGCAAAAAAAGAAAGAAAAGGAGAGAAAGAGAGAAAAACAGAGAATAAGAATTTGGGAGAAAGAGGGACGCAAGCATCCACGAGAATTGAATGACAATGAATAAGTGGTGAGAGAGAGAGAGACAGAGAGAGAGAGAGAGAGAGAGAGAGAGAGAAATAGGCGGACAGCGCGACGACAAACGTCGCTTACGTGCATTCGCGGCGGTACTCGAACCGCGACTGATTTCCCCTATCACTCCGTACTCAGCTGCCACCCACGGCACCCACGATCCTCCCACCTCCGCGCCACCTGCTCCACCGATGTCGACCTCCCCTCGCCTAGTTCCCGCTCGCGCTGCCACCCACCCGCCACCCATCTTGCTCGGAGCAACGATGGAACGTCTGACCCGTTCTAACCCCCGTCATTCCCGCTTCTCCTCTCCTGCGCGCGCGCGCTTCTACCCTTTCTCGACGCGCTCGGCGCTCTCGCCTCTCTCCATCGTCTATATACCACTTCGGTGGACGAAGCGTGTCTCACCCGTGGCAGTGTATACCGCATCTACTACCGTTCCTGCCCCCCCCCTCCTCCCGCTGCCTCCTTTTTTTCCCCCCCTCCCCCCGTTCACCCCCTCGACGATCCCGGTCGTCTCCTCGTCCTACTAGTTCCTCGAACCTCGAGCATGGTCCACAGCCGTTAATGTAGAGAGAACTCCGCGGAGCACTCGTGAATCCTCTCTTCCACTGTATTTCATGCTACCTTTCTTCCTCAGACATGGGAAAGAGAAAGAGAGAGGGAAAACTTGTTCGCGCCCCAACCTCCTTCATTTCGCTTCTCCTCGCTCCTTCGCGCTTTTTCGATCTTTCTCTGCATTGGATTCTCTTTTCGCCCTAGCTTGAACGTAAAACCGACAAGCAGTGAACGCGAAAGCTTATTACACGGTCACCTTGTACTGAGAATCACATTTGTCGAATCTATATGAGATGTTGCACGAAATGGAAAGCATTTCTTTTTCACGAATATGAGAACGGTCAGTGATCTAATTAAATCTCATAAATAAATTAACAGCTTAAAGAGTAGCTCCTTTAAAAATTCGTATAGTTCATGCATTGTATATAATTGTGTATTTTCTATAAATAAAAATTTGCGAAATCGAAAGAGTTAATGCAGTTGAATATTATATTTATCAAATATATCTATCAAATATATGACACCTTTTAAGGATTATAAGATTATAAAATTAATATTACAATTTTAATTGTATTATCTTATTATAAAACTATACAATTAAAAACATAAAAAATTTATGGACGTTGACACCTAATCAACATTTAGATTTTATCTTTTATCGTTTTATTCTGCGGTGGTGCATACAAATCCACAATGAGATTATGATTTTTAATAATACTAAAATCTATTAAAATTTTATGTACTTGATGCATTTGCGATCATAATATGAGCATAAAAAAATATCTTTTTAAATAATTAAATGTTGTCATTTATGTGAATGCGCGATATTCATTTTGGCAATTCTAACCAGTTATTTTCAACCAGTTATTTTTCTTTTGTACATTAATGTATACGATATTTTTGTTAGTACTGTTGTTGTGTGTATCGCATAAGTTTTCATGTACATTGTTACGTACATATAGTCTCGTATCTGTGTTTTATTCAAAAGTTGTGGAGCAGTTTAAGCTCCTCGCGGCCAAAACGCGTAACTCTATTTATCGGTAACCCTCGGTTCACCCATGTTACGAAGTGAGCAAGGGCTGTGTCCCTAAAGCGCATAAGGATGGTGCGAGGGTGATGCAAAGGGAGCTAAGCAAGTAAGAGATTGGTCATAGAACGGGAAAGGTTGTGAACAAACTACAGATGCAAGAGAATCTCCTGTACAGCTGCCTCTGCAAGCAGCTCCTTCCCTTGGTATTAGCGAACATGTACTTAAGATATCAGAGAAACCAGAAATACACGATGATGTAAATGAAAGTTTACTTATAAATTGCTTTTTTATCAAGTATATCATGATACTTGATCATAGTGATGAAAAATTGCATTTTTTTTTAAAAGCATCTGCTTAATACATACTAATACTATAAAAATAAAGAAAAATAAGCCGGGGCATATAAGCGACAGAGTATAAATATTACGGCATATATATTCACAGTTTAATTGATTTAAATTAAATTAGAATTTGTTTACAAAATTTATTTGCACCGAGAATTCGATATCGTATAAAATATATTTTCCAGAACGTTTTCACGACACGAGTCTCTTTTCTCTTGTATAATCAATAAAATATCTTAAAATATGCGTCATCCCATGACTTGAAAACACGAGAAACGTCGTATATGTACAAGGCCAAACGGAATATTATTGAACGGTTTTCTTTGAGGATATATTAATATTTTCGCATTCTTCATATGTAGATGAATTCGATACACAAAAAACCACAATTTTTTAAATATTATTCAAACTTTGTAGAACTATTTACGACTTTATGTACACTTTTCTCCCTTCTGTACTGGCCGTATTGACCTCTGTCTGTTAGACAAAGGAGGCAAGAGCTATTAAGTTAAAAGCAAACATAATTCTTTTGATG